GAACTCACAAACCATGAGGTCATGACCTGAGCCAAAGTTGGTCGCTCAACCGACTGAGCCACCCAGGTGCCCCTATTATTTATTATTTTTAAAATTCACCATTGACTTTTCCATTTCTCTTGAAGTTATTGTTTTTTGGCTTCCTTAATGTCTCTCTCTCTCTCCTGGTCCACCTCTGCCACTGTTTACCATTCATTATCAGTAGCTTTTATTGGAACGTCTCATCCATCCTGCCCCTGATTCTCTCCTCGGAACTCTATTCCTTCGGGGTTTTTTTGTCTTTTCATTTTCCATTCTCCTTCTCAGTGACCTTGCTTATCCTCAGAAAGTTTAATTCTAACCAAGATGTCAACAATTCTCACATACATATGTAGCTCAAAATCCTTACTTGCAACCCACTTGCAACACATCCAAATGTCTGGGCAACTCCAACTGCCCGGAGTTTCTACCCCAATTGTTGGCAACACCATCTACAGAACATCGGTGGAACCTGATCAGCCTGTGCTCTTTCTTCCCTTGTCTTTCCACTTGTAACCAGTCACCAACTCTTTAAACTCTATCTCCTCAGCGTCTGATTCCCCCTTCTCATTCTCACACTACTTCAGTTTAGGTTCTTCCAATCTCACACTTAGCTAATGCTAACTACCTAGGTATTAGCTCGTGCAGTTTCATACTCCTGCAATGCATCTACCTCCTTGCAGCCTAGATGGTTTTCTAAAAACACAAAACTGATTACGTTAGTCCCTGTTTAAATCCTTCTGTGAGCTTATTGTACTGAATTGGAATGAAAATACCTCAATATGACATAATAGGCCCTTTTAACCGTTCCATACTAGCTCTTGTCAGCTTCCCCTCTCTCCAACTCTACCCGTCAGCCAGAACGCAGTGCTTACAGATCTCTGAAAACACAAAGTTACTTATGCCCTCCGTGGCTTTTCTGTCATGTGTCTGTCTGCCTATCATGCCCCTAACCCCTTAAACCCTCCCAGCTTTGTTTTCATATGATGTGGAACTTCCTTCCTTCCTTCCTTCCTTCCTTCCTTCCTTCCTTCCTTCTTCTTCTTCTTTTTCTTTCTTTCTTTCTTTCTTTCTTTCTTTCTTTCTTTCTTTCTTCTTTCTTTCTTTCTTTCTTTCTTTCTTTCTTTCTTTCTTTCCTCAAGTTAGTTAACATACAGCTCAGTCTTGGCTTCAGAAACTGAACCCAGTGATTCATCTCTCATATATGACACCCAGTGCTCATCCCAACAAGTGCCCTCCTTAATGCCCATCACCCATTTAGCCCATGCTCCCACCTGTCTCCCCTCCAGCAATCCTCAGTTTGTTCTCTGTGTTTAAAGAGTGTCTTACGGTGTGCCTCCCTCTCTCTTTTTATCTTATTTGTCCTCCCCTTCCCCTATGTTCGTCTGTTGGCTTTCTCACATTCCACATACGAGTGAAATACCTGTGTCTTTCTCTGAGTGATTTATTTTGCCTAATGTAATACCCTTCAGTTCCATCCATGTCGTTGCAAATGGCAAGACTTCATTCTTTTTTGTTGCCAAGTAGTATTCCATTATGTATATAAACCACAGCTTCTTTATCCATTCAACGGTTGATGGACATTTGGGATCTTTTCATAATTTGGCTTTTGGTCGATAGCCAATATCAACAAATTGGTTGATAGTGGTTGATAGAGTTGCTATAAATATTGAGGTGCATGTTCTCCTTCAAGTCAGCATTATTGCATCCTTCACAATTGCATCAAAGACCATAAAATACCTAGGAATAAACCTAACCAAAGAGGTAAAAGATCTGTATACTGAAAACTATAGAAAGCTTATGATAGAAATTGAAGAAGACACAAAACGTTAAGTTTCCTCATAAACAGGGATCATATTATATTTGCTATTACTTTGCAATATCGTATTTGGCATACCTTGCAATATGCCTGGCATGATGTAACCTTGAACATAAGTTTTTAGAAAGAAGGTATGAGGACATTGTCTTTCACTTTTACTTTTTATCTTCTGAATTGTTTAGCATTTTTTAAGATGAACATAGCTTTTATACTGAAAAAATGAAAATCGAGGAAATAAACAAGTGGACATAATTTATTTTTATTGATTTTAGAGAAAAAAAATTAATTTTCCAATCATAAGAATTTAAATCTTCTGCATTGCCAAAATATTCCCGGAGTGAGTTTTGCTCTGGTATTTTTCCCCTCCTCCTCCTCCTCCTCCTTCTCCTTTTTTTAATGTTTGTTTATTTTTGAGAGAAAGAGAAACAGAGCATGAGCTGGGGAGGGGCAGAGAGAGGGAGTCACAGAATCCAAAGCAGGCTCCAGGCTCTGAGCTGTCAGCACAGAGCCCAACGCAGGTTCGAATTCACAAGCTGCGAGATCATGACCTGAGCCGAAGTCGGATGTTGAACCAACTGAGCCACCCACATGCCCTTCCTTTGCTCTGTTATTTTTAATAGTAAAATTACATCAGATCATTTTCCTAAGAAATAATTAAACTTCAACAGTGACATCCCTTTAAATATTTGCATCAGCACAAGGTAAAAAGGAAGTATCATACATGAAGGGCAAGATAACTATTTTCAGAGGTTTGCCTTCAAGACACTTCTTTGTAACCTTTACTCCTACTGTTTCAGTTTCCCCTTCTAAGGGAAAGGTTGCCAGATGTTTCACTAAGTGTTTTATCCTGCCCCACCTACCTCTCCACCCCCTAGCTCGGCAGAACTTATTTGTACACCCTGTTCCTGATGATGCTGATCACTAATCTTTGTGAGTTCCTGGCTCTAGTTAAAGATGAAAACTGAAGTTATACACAAGCCACTTAAAACCACAGCCGTGAAAGCTGATTCTTCACAGGATTTGTTGGAGGAAAACATATCGGATCGTGTGGCTCATAATCGGTGGCTACAGAAACTGACATCCCAAAGTTGTCGCTTTGCTTCACATCAAGGAGGCTAGAAGTCCCCAGTATCTTCTTACAACTTAGTAGATAGTGTAGTAGAAAGAAAACAATAAGATAAAGTCACATTAGTGAGTCTCAGGTGGTGATCATTCAATGAACAGAAACTGAGTGGAAAGTTAATAGAGGAAAGGAAGAAAACCTCAAAGTTATTTGATAAAGGAGAAGTGGAAGGGAACGGTGAAAAAGTATGTGTCCAGATTTATAGAAGTGAAGAAAACCTGAGTGTGGCCAAACGAGAAGGACATACTACGATCCCGTCAATGATTAAGAATCTCTCTGATGCAGGGGCGCCTGGATGGCTCAGTCGGTTAAGCTTCTGACTTCGGCTCAGGTCATGATCTCGCCGTCCGTGAGTTCGAGCCCCGCGTGGGGCTCTGTGCTGACAGCTCAGAGCCTGAAGCCTGTTTCAGATTCTGTGCCTCCCTCTCTCTGACCCTCCCCGTTCATGCTCTGTCTCTCTCTGTCTCAAAAAAAAAAAAAAAAAAAAA